CACGCTGAATCTCAACAAGTCCTTCAACAGTCTTGTTCTTTGTCACGCATGACGAGGCACCAGTACAAAGAAAACCACGGGGGGACTCCCATACGAAAAGGACAGGGGTGCTCGTCGCATTTTTCAGGGGTTAAAAATAGTTTTGAATAGAACCTCTTAGGGTGTTCAGCCTTAAAATGTCCACAGCGGGAGTTTTTACGGTACCTTTCAGGGTATTGAGCCGAAAAAAAAAAAAACACATGACAGGAGATGATGCGTTGTTTTTAGAATTGGTATCTCTTAGGGGTGAAAACATTTCAAGCCACGCCCACAAAACGGCATCTTGGTACTCCTTAGGGGGTCTTTTCAAAAGTTCCGACGAGTAGCCCCGTCCTTTTTATCTGGGGGTCTCCCCCCTCCCGGGTAGTGAAACATTCGCTTTTGTTTCTGTCTTAAGCCACAGCTCCGCTGGAATTAGGCAGAAATTAAACTGCGCTATTAAATGGTTTAAAAAGAGAACCACACGTCGAAAATAATGGTCTCGACTGCAGCCTCAAATGCAGTCGCTCTTTGGCCTGTGACACAATCTTATCTCTTAACGCACGACGAGCCAGAATATCGCCTGTGTCATCTACCTATAATTGTATTTTAGACGTCCCAAGATTATACAGGGTCAGACTCGTATCAATTTTCATGCATTCTTATCATGGCTGTCGCAATGTAATTGGTAAATTATCATCTCCAACATTTACAAAGGTTCTGCAAACGTCACAACATTGTCAAGAAATTTATCCACCCGGTACCTAAGGCTGGTTGTCACTCGCGCATGAGCAGAAGTATAACCAACATACGCAGTCACGGTTTGCGCATCTTAAAAAGTTTAGCCTAAATTTTTCAAGATAGTCGTTTGCAATCCCTGTTGATCTTCTCCATCCTTAACCATCCTTGTTTCGTTATGGTTTATTATTATCTCTTTGGTGTTTTTCTTTCTTAGTAACCGATTATTTTCAGTTTTCCTTCAATTTAAAAGTAATTTTGTTTTTAGCCAAAATAACTCAATACCGTGACTGAGATGTAATGCCTTTTGTTAAGGCATTCCCTAACAAAATTAGCTTTTTAACAACATACTTTTATGTCAGTATGTTGCTTAAACTTACGCTTATGCGCCAGCGAAAACCAACCTCAACATTAAAGTTGAGGCGTGTTCTAAGTTGACCACAGTTTAAAATTGTCTGCTACATAAAAACTGAAAGGCGATTTCAGTTTTACGTCACGGTGTTACTTTGGTGTTGATGGGTGCTACAAGGAATCTACGTTTCAAAGTTCTCGAGCACTGTTACTACAAGAGTGAGGCCAATAACAAACCCTGTTTCAATAACGTTCCATTAATTAGTTTGCCTTAAAGATTACTGTACAACTACCTCATATAAATTCTCAGGCACTTAGCGCTCTTTCTTATGTAACTCTGTGTCATTGTTTCTCTCATAAACGGAGGGAAGGAACAATCAGTTTTCTCGCACTAGTCTGGATTTCACGTGAAGGTGAGTCACAGTACAGAAAAGCCATATGTATAGAAAGGAAAATATGAATGGAACAAGAAGTGAAATGATTTAAGACTGGTGTGACTGAAAGAGTGGTGGCAAAAAAATAGAATGTTCATACAACTGTAAGAATGGAAGGAAAACATCTTTCTAGAATCCCCAAAAAGAACTAAGTTTTTAACCAAAGGTTTTACCGTTCATAAGCTACAGTAGCAAGGCATTAAAAGGGAAACAGCTACATAGTCCAATTTCGTAGAAAGTAAATGACTGAAACTGAAAATGTCTGATGATGCTGCAGTCTCTACAACTGCTTCCTGACAAGAGACGAGTATCACAGACAACTAAATCTGGGATGTGCAAACATGTTTGATGGTAGTACGGAATCACTCACAAGACTGACCATTCAAACCTAGCCTGAAATGCCAGTCATCTCCTGCTCTCGGCCTAATCAGATGACTGACATTTCAGGCTGTGTCAAACCACAAGAGGTGACAGAACTATCAAAGGATGCGTTATAAAATAAAAGTATAAAGACATTTAAAGAAGTGAATATGTGAAGTAAATACCATGAAATTCTTACGTTGTGGAGTCGAGGAGTGCTTGATATATCACAGCAAGTGAAAACTGATTGTTCCCAAAATAATTTTTAAACTATTTTTATCCTAAATATATATTATTTTCTGTACTGCTTACGTCGTCTTTTGCCTTTTTCTTGGTGGCGCTATCAGAGGTGTCTGTGTTGAAGCTAGCACTGCTTTGAAAACTTCCGCTATAAGATGCGTGTGGTCACTTATGAGTGTTTTCCAGCCATTTGACTCCATGACATCTGTAGCACGGCTGTGGTGAGAGGAGGAGTCAATGGAGAATAAATCTGGATGGACGCTACAAAACCTACATTGTAATACAGCAGCAGCCCTTCAGTCAAGACATAGAAAACATTTCCCATGTTTCTACTGTCAAGTTATGGAAACACAAATACATATGTATCTGAGGATGTTTGGAAAAATGTGAAATGTTTTCGGAACCTACGAGCAATACATATAGGCAAGCGTTTCCAACCGTTTCAATTCTTTCCAAACGCACACGAGTGTTTCTATAACTCTGTATAATTGGGGAAAAATGTTTACTAGTTCTTTTAGAAAAATTAATAACGGGTAGAGACCTGGTTTTCCACTGGTTAAGGTGGAACAGTAAAACCCACACACAGGAACCTAGATTTTTCAAACAGGTTCTTGTATTTTGGAGTAGCTATTGACAATTCAGGTCTACTAGGTTCTTAAATACAGTGTAGGTTCTTAATAAATCTATTAAAATATTCACTACAAGCATGGGTGTGGCCAATTAACTACAACGTCATTATAAAACAATTTTTGCTTGAGAAAGTAAAATGTAAATGAAGATAATTTTAAGTTTTAACAGAAATATATATATATTAAAGTCCAACATCTTGACCATCCTACATTTAGGTAACTCAGTTTCAATTCAAATATAATAAGAACCTGTTTTTCTTTGCCAGGCTAACCAGGTTCTTACATATTTTGTTTGTTTGTTTGTTTGTTTGTTTTTTTTTAAATGCCAAATAAATTACAATATTTAGAGCGAAAGCCACATCAGCCTTACCTGGTTTTCATGCAGGTCCTCTATCCTGGTCAATTTGGAATTTGGCAATGTTGGTTTTTGTGGAGGGAGGAAAACCAGATAACCCAGAGAAAAACCCTCAGAGAAAGGTGAAACCTAACAACAAATTCAACCCACATATGGCATGGGGCTGAATTGAACCCAGGCCACATTGGTGGGAGGCAAGTGCTCTCACCACTTCTCCATCACTGCTCCCCAGTAAATATAAATAAGAGGCAATACATCTAACATGTAGGTTGGTAAAATTTTCACTACATTCTTATATGTGGGTTTTTACTGTTGTTCAACTAAAACCCTAGGTGAACAGCATGCCAACCCTTCAGGCACAAATAAGAATCATAACAATGAACAATAAGTTTGTTTTGGAATTTACAGTACTGTTGGGAACGACATTTGAACACAAAACTGATTCATTCAAAATATTTGTTCTACATTCACCAACCAATCAGAGCAAACATGTTGAGATGTCGACCGATCATTTATAAGGACCAAAACCAAGAGCAACATGATTGGTTAATGACATCGTAATAAATTACTTTGATTTCAGTTTTACCAAAGATGTGGTCTGTCCACAGACCGTCTACGGTTTGTGTTGAGTTTGTTAAGACTGGAGGCAAAATATTAACCAAGGGGGTATAAACCAGCCAAAATGCAAGCAAGTGGGGTTGGGTAATGGTTGCTCTTCTGCTCAATGTTTGTTCTTGCATGCCCACAGAAAGAAACATCTGTGGACAGACGAGCATATACATGTACGTGGCCTACCACAAATCTACGAATTTCATTGGTGGTGCTAGATAATTAGCTATTGAAATGTAATGTAGTTTGTCCTACACTGCAACCTTAACGTTAACTTGTATAAGAGCACTGGAGAGCATTGGAGAGCATTGAAGCCTCTGACAAGTCAAAGTCAAAAGAAATCGAGGGCAAGAGCCCTGGCCTCCGGGTTCTTGCAGGGACATGTACATGTTCATGTCATAGTATTTATTTTCTTTCTCCCTGCTTCTACAGCAATGTCATGCAAAAATCCCTTTTCTAAGGTTTAGCCTTACTGACTAGCAGGGAATAAATANCAGGGACAATTTTTTTTAGAAATTGCCCAGCAACCCCCAGCTCCCTTCCTCCTTGAAAAAACTAACAGTCCGCCCCTTATTCTCCTTCCCAACCGTGACACTTGTCACACAACACTACGTACCAAGACTGCAGACTAAGTAGGGTCTAACACATCTTGGTTAAAGCCTTAGCCCAGCTATTGTTAATGCATAATTGTACCAATGAAGCAAAGTCCAACTCGATCCAGGATGGGTGGAATTGCAGTCAAACTGCTCTTAATCATTGCAAACGTATATTCCGTGTAGAACCCGAGTTAATCTGCGCAAATCTTCGAGACCCAAAGTTCAACTAAATTGCAAATGGCAGCTGCTAATATTAAATCTTGGGCCAGCCCGAGATCCTTTACATTTCGTTCTTCAGACACTTTCTCTCTTTTACTCATCATTTCGCGTCCTTCTACCGAGAAACAACTCAAACCAGCTGAGTGTGAGAAGGACAATTTTCATTTGTAGAAAAAAAGTGCTACCGACTAAGAAAGGTGATGTCACGCTGAATCTCAACAAGTCCTTCAACAGTCTTGTTCTTTGTCACGCATGACGAGGCACCAGTACAAAGAAAACCACGGGGGGACTCCCATACGAAAAGGACAGGGGTGCTCGTCGCATTTTTCAGGGGTTAAAAATAGTTTTGAATAGAACCTCTTAGGGTGTTCAGCCTTAAAATGTCCACAGCGGGAGTTTTTACGGTACCTTTCAGGGTATTGAGCCGAAAAAAAAAAAAACACATGACAGGAGATGATGCGTTGTTTTTAGAATTGGTATCTCTTAGGGGTGAAAACATTTCAAGCCACGCCCACAAAACGGCATCTTGGTACTCCTTAGGGGGTCTTTTCAAAAGTTCCGACGAGTAGCCCCGTCCTTTTTATCTGGGGGTCTCCCCCCTCCCGGGTAGTGAAACATTCGCTTTTGTTTCTGTCTTAAGCCACAGCTCCGCTGGAATTAGGCAGAAATTAAACTGCGCTATTAAATGGTTTAAAAAGAGAACCACACGTCGAAAATAATGGTCTCGACTGCAGCCTCAAATGCAGTCGCTCTTTGGCCTGTGACACAATCTTATCTCTTAACGCACGACGAGCCAGAATATCGCCTGTGTCATCTACCTATAATTGTATTTTAGACGTCCCAAGATTATACAGGGTCAGACTCGTATCAATTTTCATGCATTCTTATCATGGCTGTCGCAATGTAATTGGTAAATTATCATCTCCAACATTTACAAAGGTTCTGCAAACGTCACAACATTGTCAAGAAATTTATCCACCCGGTACCTAAGGCTGGTTGTCACTCGCGCATGAGCAGAAGTATAACCAACATACGCAGTCACGGTTTGCGCATCTTAAAAAGTTTAGCCTAAATTTTTCAAGATAGTCGTTTGCAATCCCTGTTGATCTTCTCCATCCTTAACCATCCTTGTTTCGTTATGGTTTATTATTATCTCTTTGGTGTTTTTCTTTCTTAGTAACCGATTATTTTCAGTTTTCCTTCAATTTAAAAGTAATTTTGTTTTTAGCCAAAATAACTCAATACCGTGACTGAGATGTAATGCCTTTTGTTAAGGCATTCCCTAACAAAATTAGCTTTTTAACAACATACTTTTATGTCAGTATGTTGCTTAAACTTACGCTTATGCGCCAGCGAAAACCAACCTCAACATTAAAGTTGAGGCGTGTTCTAAGTTGACCACAGTTTAAAATTGTCTGCTACATAAAAACTGAAAGGCGATTTCAGTTTTACGTCACGGTGTTACTTTGGTGTTGATGGGTGCTACAAGGAATCTACGTTTCAAAGTTCTCGAGCACTGTTACTACAAGAGTGAGGCCAATAACAAACCCTGTTTCAATAACGTTCCATTAATTAGTTTGCCTTAAAGATTACTGTACAACTACCTCATATAAATTCTCAGGCACTTAGCGCTCTTTCTTATGTAACTCTGTGTCATTGTTTCTCTCATAAACGGAGGGAAGGAACAATCAGTTTTCTCGCACTAGTCTGGATTTCACGTGAAGGTGAGTCACAGTACAGAAAAGCCATATGTATAGAAAGGAAAATATGAATGGAACAAGAAGTGAAATGATTTAAGACTGGTGTGACTGAAAGAGTGGTGGCAAAAAAATAGAATGTTCATACAACTGTAAGAATGGAAGGAAAACATCTTTCTAGAATCCCCAAAAAGAACTAAGTTTTTAACCAAAGGTTTTACCGTTCATAAGCTACAGTAGCAAGGCATTAAAAGGGAAACAGCTACATAGTCCAATTTCGTAGAAAGTAAATGACTGAAACTGAAAATGTCTGATGATGCTGCAGTCTCTACAACTGCTTCCTGACAAGAGACGAGTATCACAGACAACTAAATCTGGGATGTGCAAACATGTTTGATGGTAGTACGGAATCACTCACAAGACTGACCATTCAAACCTAGCCTGAAATGCCAGTCATCTCCTGCTCTCGGCCTAATCAGATGACTGACATTTCAGGCTGTGTCAAACCACAAGAGGTGACAGAACTATCAAAGGATGCGTTATAAAATAAAAGTATAAAGACATTTAAAGAAGTGAATATGTGAAGTAAATACCATGAAATTCTTACGTTGTGGAGTCGAGGAGTGCTTGATATATCACAGCAAGTGAAAACTGATTGTTCCCAAAATAATTTTTAAACTATTTTTATCCTAAATATATATTATTTTCTGTACTGCTTACGTCGTCTTTTGCCTTTTTCTTGGTGGCGCTATCAGAGGTGTCTGTGTTGAAGCTAGCACTGCTTTGAAAACTTCCGCTATAAGATGCGTGTGGTCACTTATGAGTGTTTTCCAGCCATTTGACTCCATGACATCTGTAGCACGGCTGTGGTGAGAGGAGGAGTCAATGGAGAATAAATCTGGATGGACGCTACAAAACCTACATTGTAATACAGCAGCAGCCCTTCAGTCAAGACATAGAAAACATTTCCCATGTTTCTACTGTCAAGTTATGGAAACACAAATACATATGTATCTGAGGATGTTTGGAAAAATGTGAAATGTTTTCGGAACCTACGAGCAATACATATAGGCAAGCGTTTCCAACCGTTTCAATTCTTTCCAAACGCACACGAGTGTTTCTATAACTCTGTATAATTGGGGAAAAATGTTTACTAGTTCTTTTAGAAAAATTAATAACGGGTAGAGACCTGGTTTTCCACTGGTTAAGGTGGAACAGTAAAACCCACACACAGGAACCTAGATTTTTCAAACAGGTTCTTGTATTTTGGAGTAGCTATTGACAATTCAGGTCTACTAGGTTCTTAAATACAGTGTAGGTTCTTAATAAATCTATTAAAATATTCACTACAAGCATGGGTGTGGCCAATTAACTACAACGTCATTATAAAACAATTTTTGCTTGAGAAAGTAAAATGTAAATGAAGATAATTTTAAGTTTTAACAGAAATATATATATATTAAAGTCCAACATCTTGACCATCCTACATTTAGGTAACTCAGTTTCAATTCAAATATAATAAGAACCTGTTTTTCTTTGCCAGGCTAACCAGGTTCTTACATATTTTGTTTGTTTGTTTGTTTGTTTTTTTTTAAATGCCAAATAAATTACAATATTTAGAGCGAAAGCCACATCAGCCTTACCTGGTTTTCATGCAGGTCCTCTATCCTGGTCAATTTGGAATTTGGCAATGTTGGTTTTTGTGGAGGGAGGAAAACCAGAGAACCCAGAGAAAAACCCTCAGAGAAAGGTGAAACCTAACAACAAATTCAACCCACATATGGCATGGGGCTGAATTGAACCCAGGCCACATTGGTGGGAGGCAAGTGCTCTCACCACTACTCCATCACTGCTCCCCAGTAAATATAAATAAGAGGCAATACATCTAACATGTAGGTTGGTAAAATTTTCACTACATTCTTATATGTGGGTTTTTACTGTTGTTCAACTAAAACCCTAGGTGAACAGCATGCCAACCCTTCAGGCACAAATAAGAATCATAACAATGAACAATAAGTTTGTTTTGGAATTTACAGTACTGTTGGGAACGACATTTGAACACAAAACTGATTCATTCAAAATATTTGTTCTACATTCACCAACCAATCAGAGCAAACATGTTGAGATGTCGACCGATCATTTATAAGGACCAAAACCAAGAGCAACGTGATTGGTTAATGACATCGTAATAAATTACTTTGATTTCAGTTTTACCAAAGATGTGGTCTGTCCACAGACCGTCTACGGTTTGTGTTGAGTTTGTTAAGACTGGAGGCAAAATATTAACCAAGGGGGTATAAACCAGCCAAAATGCAAGCAAGTGGGGTTGGGTAATGGTTGCTCTTCTGCTCAATGTTTGTTCTTGCATGCCCACAGAAAGAAACATCTGTGGACAGACGAGCATATACATGTACGTGGCCTACCACAAATCTACGAATTTCATTGGTGGTGCTAGATAATTAGCTATTGAAATGTAATGTAGTTTGTCCTACACTGCAACCTTAACGTTAACTTGTATAAGAGCACTGGAGAGCATTGGAGAGCATTGAAGCCTCTGACAAGTCAAAGTCAAAAGAAATCGAGGGCAAGAGCCCTGGCCTCCGGGTTCTTGCAGGGACATGTACATGTTCATGTCATAGTATTTATTTTCTTTCTCCCTGCTTCTACAGCAATGTCATGCAAAAATCCCTTTTCTAAGGTTTAGCCTTACTGACTAGCAGGGAATAAATAAATGTAAGCCTAACAAATTACCTTTTGATGAAGTCAAGAGCTTGTGCCTTGAGTTGTGTTGCACTGTGCATGTCCGCTAATATAAGTATGTCACACACATTGTCTACTGTAAGATTTGAACATAATGCTTCTTCGCACATAACTTTAAGTCTATCAAGGTCATACTGAAAATTAAAAAGGATCATAAAGAGAATGACATAACTGTAAGATAATGAACAAATCCACATGCGAGGAGAGGTAAAGGCAAGAGAGAGTTATTTGTTTGCAGGATTTACCTCAATTTAAACATATTCCTCATCACTTTCTGATCAAGCTACATGTACTAAATATTGAAAGTCTATGGCATGTATACTTGTCCCAATAAATTTGAACCCTATGTACAATTAAGTGAATGCTTTTTTGTGACATGGATTCAAAATTTGGGACATGTAACTTTTGAGAGTTAATATCTTCCTAAGTAGTATACCCAAAGAGCAAACCATTTTACCAGTGTGTAAGTTTTACATGCTTGTTTGGAGTGAACCTGTACTGAGTGTGATGCCTTCTCTGCACAAAATCATATGCTAACAAGGAAAATGCAAACAATGGTGCCACCAACAATTCCCCCACGCTCCCCCTTAACTGAAGGTGTCGTCATACACACTGAAGGTAGGACATATGCAAGATACATGTAATATATCAAACACAAGAGACAGTGTTTCATCGGGATATCCAAACAGTGAGAGGAGAGTTGAAAATACAATACGCAGCAGAGTAGTGTTGATGAAATTCGAAGTGTTTGGATAACTGATGAAACACTGTCTCGAGTGTTTGATATATCTTCTCAATTGAAACAAAAACTAAGGAGCAAACGGAGAAGTAAAATCGTCAAAATCCATGCAAATTAAGACTGTGTATCCAAACCGCCTTCACAGTTGTGATTGTCTTCGTTTCAACTTGATGAATTTGTAATGAGTGTGAGAAGGATATTTCCCAAGGTGGAACAGACATCAAGGACATACATGTAGCGGAAAACCTAATATAAAAGAACATCCAAAGGGAACTCCCACAGAAGATCATATTTACATTATTTTAATACCTTGTCAGCTGCAGCTAAAAGATCATCAGCCATTCCTTGAAGTTGTGGAGTGCTACCAGTGTAAACAAACTTTAACATTTCATGAAACACATCCGGATCTATATCACTTATCTCCACACGTCCTTTTCTACTCTCCTCCATTTCATGTTCAAACATGGCTCCAAATACAGGGGAGCGTGCAGCCAATATAGCTTTGTGTGCCTTAAATTCTCGGCCCCTAGTACACAGTGTGACATCACTGAATGTTCCAGAGTCTAAAAGTGATTCCATATGTCGTGGCAGTTTACACTCTGGAACCTTGAGTGCTGCAGTATGAGATGAACCTGATACATTTACTGAATCACCTTCTACACTGACCTAAAAACACAGCATCGCTAATTAGCACCGCAACTTTATACTTAAAAATCATTGAATGGTTAAGCAGAGAAATACCGCTACTTGGAAATGAACCACTTGTAACTGCAAGTGGATAATCATGAGTGTGGCAGGGGAAAGAAAATATGTTCATGAGCTATGAGCAAAATGTCAATCCATTGACCATAAACGTATACATGCTGAACCATCAGGTGAGAAATTCTAATAATTCAAGTGCTAAATATTTTCCTTGTGTTCTCACTGAAACATATCTCAGCATTGGTGTACTGAAATCTCCAACATTCTGCTATAACCCATTGGGTGATTGCAGAAAATATCCATACCCTACCACAGGCAGCATGAACATTTTGATCCCCCCTTACCTTTGGGAATTCCTAAATGCTCTACCCCGCCCCATGCCCTCCCAATTCCAAAATTCCCTCCTCTCCTACGGAATTTCCCCTTTTATTCAGACCCTTTGGAATTCCTGTTTGACTGCCTAAAACTTCTAACGAACATCAAACATGCACTTTCCACCCCCTCAAATAAAACTTTTTGTTTTCAGTTCATTAGCTTCATATTTTTCAGGAGATGAGATCATATTGATGTCAATAGAAGACAAAAGTAAAGTTCATGATGTGCCATCACCCGCCACATTGAAAATTTCTTTCATTGAGTAACTGCTGACCACTAGTAATGCTCCCTACAAATCTGTCAGACGTTCCATTTGGAAACGAGATACTGGTACAAGGTTTTTGCACGCAACAAGATGGTCAATCGACAATTTTAGATTGGAAAGAAACACAGCCTTGTTTTATATTTTATCAATCCATTGACAAATTCATCAACTTTAAGGCCTCTTCTATGTGGAGCTTGCTGCACAATCCATCCGCTCACTCATCTGCGTGATCACTAACACGGACCTGATCGATCTTTATCCTGCTTCCGCGATTGGTTCGTGCTTGATTTACAAACTGAGGGGAGATGTTCAATTCTTACCTCACAGAACAATGTCAGTGTATCATTGGGTAATAAACCATTTGCTTCATCCATTAGGAAATCTCTTCTTATAAACTTTTTAAAACCCCAGTCTTTACCTTGGACAAACCTATAAGCTCTTTGGCTCTCTGTGCACAGGAAAAAAAAAACAATGTCATGACTGCAATTGGTAAAGGTCTTATGTAGAGTTGAACCCCACTATTTTGATCTCTAAAAGGAATTGAAAAATAATTTAAAATACTGTGGAGAGGGTTTAAAATAAACATATTGAATATATATAATACAAACGTAAATGCGCAATCAACGAAACAACTGGCAGTGTGTATGAATTTCACATAAATGACCAATCTCTTTTCTCATTTTTGTCATTGAATGATATTAAATTGCAGGATAGTACACAAATAGTAATCATCAATAATTATGTGTGTACATGTAGATTATTTTAAGATTGCAAATGAATCCACAGTCCTGTTATTAGTACATGCACATACCCATAGCCTTTGTTTCTTCTCTGTTTGCATTGAGAATTGAAAACTTAAATTTAGCTCTGACTTCACTCTTGTTACAAGCAAGCAGTAGAAGATATAATGATAAATAATCCTTGCTTTCTTCATCTAAGCCTCTTGGGTTTACTCTTAAACACCTACATGGTGATGAAGGATAAAGGATGCTGTCAGTAGAGAGTATTAGAAAACACCCTGTAAAAAGTGCATGTTACACATCCCTAACCGTAACCCTTTATAACTCACCAGAAATACAGACCTAACTGTTGATGCCACATACAGGTAGTGAATACAAAAAAAATTGACATTTTGATGAGCGACATAGTACATGTAATACAGGAGTGATTTTCCTTTCTTATCTTGCAGTGCTTTTTCTAAAAAATTGCAAAAAAATTCTATGGAGTTATAGTTCTAGAGTTATATGTATAGAAACACTTGTTAAAGTTTGGGAGAAATCAAAAGACTTAGGGAACACTTGCCTGCAGCTTANAAAGTAATCACCATTCTATGTTTTTATTTAGTTCAAGAAATGCTAGCAGCAGCTTGAAACAAAACACGACCATTCTTTGGGAGTTGAACTTGAAATAAATCGAAGTCTCTGTGGACATGTGTTTGCCATAGGGGAACGCTTTGAGGCAAGGAGTTCTGAAGAACGACTGAGCACTAAGTCTATTCATTACTAAACGTGCATGCAAAGAAACTTCAATTATTCGGCGAGCGCATCGCTACTCCATTACACGCAACGCACCGAAGAAGTACAACGAAAAGGTCGTGGAAACGCACAACAGCTAAGCTTATTTTAAGAACAACCGAACAGGGCCGTGTTCCGCAAAAATGTGAATCTGCTAAGCGAAGGTATGAATGAACAAAAAAATATTTTTCCTCGCCAGTGGAGGGGCCCGCTCTCTTAAGTCTTACCGGAACTCGCAATTGGACCGAGGGCCAACGGCTCCCAACGTCCTCAGAAAAAAATGCAATAAGTTCAAATTCGGGTAAAGCTTACCTTCTTCTAGCCAATAAAGGAACAACTGTGAACTTGTACCTCCTGTACTCGTGAGGGCAAAACAAAAAGCAATGTTACTCTTCGAGTGACCACTTTGTGGTGACTAGTTTCAAGTCTTCTCTTGTATTATGTGCCATCCGGGAATGCGCGCCCGGCGCCTTTGTTTATATGCGCACGTACGGAATCTCTGCAGCCGAGTCACTTTCTAACGCGAGCTCTGATTGGATGCTGATACTGCAATGTTTACATTTGCTTCCGTAAGACAACAACAAAATGATCACTGCACTACCGTGTAAGCTTACTTCCAGGTTCTCCTTAGAGTCAAAGCATTCTTCAACAGGAATCCCACAACGAACTAAGACAATTCAAAGCAAGAATAAAATAGACCATCAGCAAAGATTCCCCCCCCCCCACGAGGTGGGGGGACTTTCATATAAAACGGACCGAGGTGCTCGTCAGAAATTTTGAAAAGAACACTAAAAGAGGTAACCCTATTTTGTTGATATGGCTTGAATTTTTTTCATCCCTAGGGGGTACCAATTCTAAAACAGGGCATTATCTCCTGTCAATTTTTTTTTTCGGCTCAATACCCTAAAAGATACCGCGAAAGCTCTCGCTGTGCTGTGAACCTTTTGAGGCTGAACACCCGAAGAGGTACCGTGACAACTTTTTAAATCCTAAAAGGTTCAATATATGGTGAGCACTTCCGTGCTTTTTATATAGGATTCCCCCTCCCCCCAAGGAGATATCCACCTGCAGCCAGGTGGTTTAGCAGCCGGAAGATCAGAGTGCGCTTCTCTCGTTCCGCTCTCGTAATCGCGTTTTTCTCCTAGTTTTTTTGTCCTTAACAGGTTTTAGAAATTTGTAGAATTGTGAGTGTATGTCCTCAGAGAGGGAGGGTATGTTTCTTTTCTGACTGCGTCAATGCCAGAAAAAAAAAATCATGAAGTGTCATCCCTCCAATTACACCCCGAAGCACAATTGCAAACTTGTAAGGAAGCCATAAGGTCGATAAGAAAATGGAAAAAAGAAAACCCATCCTATTTCCGACCCTGCCAGATTACAACTGCTGAAACTACAAACTGCTGAAATTGCGTGTATTTTACTGTCAAATTAGTCGTGACTTCTGCGTGGGTACGGGTGTGGAGCGTCACGTCCAACTTTAGAAGCAGTGTCGTAGACACATCTTGAAAATGCCGCGTGAAGAGCTGCTTTCTAAAACGATCTATGATTGGTTACTTATGAATGACGTCATGTCGTGTGAGAATCGCCATTTTGGATTAGTTTAATCATGTGAGAGCTGCGAGTTGATCGTGGAATCGAAAGAAAGCTTCCGGGAACTTTGCAAATAACGTGTCTTTACGAGACATGGGGAGAACGGGATCTGCAATGCAATTCAGCTGCTATAGGCTGGGACTGATATTCTTCAACATCATTTACATGGTAGGTAGAAGTGGCCCGCGGAACATCACCAGCTTTGCTTACATGTCGCTACAAGATTTAAACATTTCAACTTTTTACCTTATATGAAGACTTCAATCTATCAAACACAAAATTTCAGTGACTTTTCCCATCTTATGATTTATTCCAGTTGAATTTGTTGTCTTAAAGTTTCAATGCATGTTTGAAATTGAGAAGAATTCTCGAGATGACCCACAAAAAGTTAAGATGGTCATAAGCGAATGCGTCTATCAATGTAACCCCGAGAGGGGGAGACACGGGGCATTTGACTTTCAGAAGAATTCTCGATCAAAATTTCCTCCGTACAGCCAGAAAAGTAGGGAAAATCAGATCCGATCCCCACCGTAATCATAAGTAATCATCGATATAAATTTCCAAGTTTTTAATTTCCTTCAATGCTCTGTGTATCCCGAGGCAATATGTGGGTTATTGGCCAAGCAGAGAGGTCAAGATGGCTGGATTTTGGCCAAGTTATTTTGTTGCGTGTTTATGGACCGAGAAAGGGTCAGAGAATTCACAATTTTCACGTGGCAGATGCTGGATTGAACATCTCTGTATAATAAAATGCTTAAAATATCAATTACTGGTACGTATATCTCTAGTCAAGTAATAAGCCAGGATGTATTTTTGAAAAATGCCAATAGTTCACAGCCAATACATACACTTGCAATGCAAGTACAGAAGAGGATTATTTGTTGTTTATCATACACAATTTACACGTACATGTATAAGGACGGTTTTCACCATCATGTCCTTATCTCTAGAAGGGAAATAGGGCATTGCGTTCTCGCTCGCCTTGATCTTCTCCGTTCTTAGCTCATGTACCAGCATCCAGGCAGCTTTTGAATCCCATCTCCCACCTTTCCCTCTCCACAGTTTGTCTCCAAGTTTCCCTAAGCCTTCCTCTTTGACATCTTCCTTCCAGGGTCGAAGTTAATGCCACTTTTGGGTGTTAATTTGCATTCCTCCCCACGACCAATCAACTGCCAATGCCTTCGTTTTATCTACTGTGTAATTTCTTTATGGACTGTTTTACAATTTGTTTATTATTACTTTTATTACTTTTTTGCAGATTGTAGGCTTTGTTCTTATCTTATCGCCAGTGTATTCTAAAATAACAGATCTCTTCACAAGTTGGCCTATAGTAGGTGGAACAATAGCATGTGGCGTGTTCATTATGTTGATAGCCTCAGCTGGTATTTATGGAGCAGTTAAGCATCACCAGATTGTTCTGTTTTTTGTATCCTTTAAGTACATGTTGGGAATTCTGGTGTCAAACAAGAAGGTGAATAAAAATACTTACAGTAATTGTATATGAATTGATCATAACTGGGGCTTTCAGCGGCTTCAGTGAGGGTTGGGCACCAAGCAAATTGACCGGCTGTGAGGATGATTTTGCACACGTGGTTTGACCATCTAGAGGAAAGGTTTTTTCATTAAGAAGTTTGGTTCAGAATGTTTTGCCCATGTAATGTGTTACATGTATGTTACTTTTCCATTGCTTCATATCATACAATCGTGTAGTCTGGAAAAAAAGGAAAACTAAAATTAAACTGGTTTGAAATTTTCAGGTGAACTTAAGTTAAATTGAAAACACATCTTGATCTGGTGTAGTTATAATTTAATATTTAACAATTATTGGACAAGGTGGAGCAAAATGTGGCAATTTGTCAGTGGCAGGCAGATCAATCAATTAATCTGCGAGACACTGATATATCACAATATATTAATCTTAATATAGCTCTGTATTGTAATATCAATTTTTTTTTATCTCTTTTGTTGTTTTTAATTTTTATTATGATTTACACGGCCCCACTGAAAACCACCAAGGCAAGTGGGCTCCCTGGATAAATATTTTTATTATTATAATTATCGAAAAGAAAATGCACCGAATGATAATTTAGATTTATTTTAGTGAGTTTTCATCCTTAACAAAACATCAGTATATGGCAGTCATGTGTCTCATATTTATCATCCTTTTCTCTGTATCTGTGGCGGCACTTGCAATAACATCAAGCCAACAGAGGACTGTACTGAGGAAGGCCTGGGGATCTTTTAGTAACATAACAAAACAAGATGTTCAAACGTTTGGAGACTGCTGTGGCTTTGAAAACATAAGTGTTACCAGCAATCATCCAACTTGTGAAGATGTACGTTTTCAGTTGAACCTCTATTTTAGTCCCAAGATTTTTCTCGATAAAATTCTGTAAATAAAAGCCCTATTAACTAGTCACCTCTATTAAGCAGCCACAGCCACCGTTTGGTCTTTTTCATAGGGTTTTGTGCTCTGCTTACCCCTATAAAGCAGCCACCCAAAATTAAATATTACACTTAGGCCCCATTTGCACCAACCAAATTTGGTAAATTAAATCAGGTTCCAGTTTTTCCTAAATGTTGATCACACTTTGCAGTCATTTTGAGAAGACAAATTTCAAACCACTGTGTTAACATATTTTCATCAAACAGGGTTTTACCTTGTCAAGTTGTGTGTGTACGTTATTACTTAGCATGATCTAATTTTTAACCTTGTTTTGTTAAACCACTTTTAAACATGTTAAACATGTTGGTGTGAACAGGGTATTAGTTTGGCCTTGTTTGGAAAAGGCGATGACAGATACATGTACAGCTGTAAGATTCAAAAATAGAGAGTGAAGACTAAAAACATTCAATTACATTTTTGTTTGGTCCTACCCGATTCCATGTACTGTAGCTTTATAGCGTGTTTGTATTCAAACAGAGTAGTTGATCTTTTTACCAAGCCTCAGGCTACTGTAATTCCTAACTGTCAAACCCCTATTGAGCAGCCACCTCCCATAATTTTCCTCGAGGGTGGCCGCTTAGTAGGGGTTTGATTGTATTTTCAAAATGTATATATACAGTCAACTCTCGCCTTGCGGACACCCTGCTATTAAGGACNATCTAATAATTATTGGATGATCTGTGAACAGCCGTCTGTCTCTCCCTTCTTGATTGAAATATTGGTTGAATAGTTCTGTCCTCACTCCAGGTTTTACTCCCCACACGAGGTTGGACATAAAAACATGCCCTTCGTTAATGGTGTGTGGGTGTCTCTGTGGAAACCCTTTGGGAAAAAAACATTGTGTTAAGCTCACCTAATTCTGGTCCCAGTTAAGCTGCAGTACAACATAATACACAATGGCCCTATGGCCATGGCATTTAATTTGATTCATTGACTGAAAATTAGAAAACAGATGGCTGTTCACAAACTTATTACCATCACTAGAGATTGCTCTGACAGTTGGCACTGAGATTTTGATTGTTCATGTTGTGGTTGGAGAATTTTAGTTTTGCTGGTATCTGTTCTCAGAGAAACTGATTAATGTATTAAACTTAAATTTCATGTTGAAAATTCACAGCTAATTTAGTAGAGATTTTAAAGAATTTTCCAGTGGTCATTGTTAATACTGTTTAAATTCCTGTTTTTAAAGGAGCAGCATGGTACAGTTATATTTTATAATAATTATTGAGTCATTTTTGTAATGTACAAAAATCCTGTTGGGGATAAAATTAAAACACTAATTCACCATACAGGTAGTAAAAACATGCATGTAAAAGTTGGCTCAGATTGAGAAGGATTCAGAAAGATTTTAATCAAAGAACTTGGAAGAACGGCTAATCTTGGCAAAGTTTTTGAAGGTACCCGTTCATTGCATAGCTGCCCTTTCTTGGTTTCTATTCATGCCTGTTACTATTAGATGAACACAGTTATCATGACTTATGTTTTGGAGTTTTCTGGAATCATTTTGGAATCATTGTCAGTTATATAATTTCTTTTTTTCTTTCTTTCTGCATTATTCTAGTTTTAGAACATATTTTATTCCTTTAATTATGTGACTAATGA